AGCGCCATCTGCTGACCTTTCGCGTTTGCCTGGCGTTTGTACTGTGGCATTATCACATGGCTTCTCATAGACTCCATAACAAACGACATTCTCATGAGCTTGTGCTTTCGAGACTTGTCGTCAGAAGGGCTTTCGAAGGAGATTCCTGGGAACTGCTTAACAATAGCGTCGTGGTCATCAAAGGCGGTTTCCAGAGCAAGCGACTCAGCTGGTACCACAAGAAACATGAGACGACCTTTACTTTTGTTCTTGTTTCTTACCCGTCCAGTCCGGATCCAGATGGCTAGCGTGATAAAGAGCCTACTGGTTTTTTGGTTGACTCCAATCGAGAGTCTGAGTATGTCGCTACAGCCATTCCGGTCTGATACCTGGCCAAGTGAATCTTTCTTCTTTGTGGTAGGGTCCTCGAAGATAGCTACAACGGACTGATCTTTGACGATCAGCGGCAGGGCACTGTCGGTCTTGAGCTTGAGGGTCAATCCTTCGATCTGAATCTCGGTTGTCATGATGAATACTGGTCATGTCAGTGACCTGAGTGGGTCAAGCAGAAAAGGGATACCTCGTCCCGCACTGTCAGAGACGAACATGCGAACCCACCCACCCAGGCTTCTGAGCAGCCTTGACTCGATTATGGTTGTCGCGACGTGTCGGAAAAGACTAGCCACAACACACGCTGCCGTGGTATCTGCACTGGTCGGAGGCCACAGTCGCAATGATGTTCGATCGACGGGAATAAGGTCGGAAGGCGTCTTGAGAAGCCTGCGTCGACGTTTTCGATGCCAAACTCTTACACCAAGCAGGGGTAGCACGCTCACGGTTGGGCGTTACGGATGGCAGGTGTGTTGTGGAAGTCGAGTCGCGGTTGTGTCTTGCAAGGCGACGAGGTCGTTGCGCGTGCAGCCTGTACTGCGTCGTGCTTCTGCAATGGCGGAATAGGAGACGCGGGGATAATCGAATAGTATGAGTGACGGTGAAGGTGACGGTGACGATGACGGTGACGGCGACGATGATGGCGACGATGATGGCGACAATGAAGACGAGGGAAACAAATGGGCATGACAAGAACGTAAACGACGCGACAAGCAGCGACTAAAATAAGAATTAAGATCTGGGGATAAGCATGCCGGTTAGACACGGGCGCGTTCTGGCACCCCACACCGTTTCGAGCTGCGCGCTTCGTTGTTTCATCCTCTGCACGACACCGCATCTGGCAACATCTGGATGGCAGCCTAGCTCAAGGCACGACTAGAACCGAGGCCACAAGCCAGCTACAGGAGGTACACATGAAGTATCTTAAAATAGTTCGGACCTCATTTCCAACTCTGTTTCCTCCTATGCTGTTTTCCGTGATCATCAATGATGCGGCTAAGGCTTTTAGCAACCTCATTATCAAGCTGCTGTCATGGGTTCCATATACAATCAAGGGAAGCTGAAATGCTATCCGATGCGCCATAGCCAAAAAGGAACGGTATGTTGAAGGACCCCCGAACACTCGGGCTTCTTGATTAGTGAAGCTTAAACGCATGGCCAGTAAAAAGCACTTCATCTACAATTGAAACCTCTACTCATGCTCCCATTATAGAGAACCTCAAGTCAAACCGCCCGGGGTTAAAACGTGTCTTCCAGTAGATGCTTCTGTACGTTTGAAGGTCATGAGTTCTCAAACCTGCAGCCTTGCCATTTTGAAAATCATATAGAAATTTGGAAGTTTCCGCTCGCTAGGTCAAAGCAGATTTGAATCGGCTCTCTTATATAGATACTTCCGTAGCTCCGAAGGTCATGAGTTCTCAAATCTGTAGCCTTGTCATTTTGGAAATCATACACAGGTTTGAAAGCTTCCGCTCGCTAGCTCAACGCAGATTTGAATGGGCTCTATTATACACATAACCAAGATCGTGTTCCGATGCAACAACCTTCCAGCTGCCAATTGGTATACTGGTACATGTCGATCAAGAGAATCTAGTTCAGTGCAAATGCAACCTTTGTCGCCTATGCTCACGGGAGCAAAGCGCAAGAGCAGGATCTGGAAGAAGAGCAGGGTCGTCCTCACAACAACCAGATCCAGGCTCCTTGGCGTTGAAGATCTACCTGTGACCCCACACTCACGGTGGTGTCATGATTCATTCGAGGCTGGTTTGTGGTTTTGCGTTGCACAAAGCAACGACCACTGTTGCACTTCATACACATTCCGGTTCCAGGCGATGAGTGCTCCACCTATTATTCATTGCTTCAAAAGGCAAGGAGCGAATATACTATGGAGCGGACCTGTGATGAACAGGCTACATGTCTCCCGCAGACTGCGGCTGAGCTACTCGATCGCACCGTCTGCCTGCATGGTTGGGTGGCTGTAAGCAACCTGGTGACTGCAGCGGCTACGGTACAGCCGTGTCGACCTGCGCATTAGTGTCAGACGAGCGCAACGCGCGGGCGAATCACTGTCCAGTCTCCGGTCGAACCGCGATAACTCATACTTGTTCCGGCCTATTGGGTTTGATTAAACCTCGCCCAGTGGGATCATGCAAGCGCCACGCACGGAGCCGATGGCAGAAGCACACTCAGCAGCGTAACGTACCGATGCGACCGCCTGTAAGTACAGCTGCCTCTCATAAGACGCTCCTCACTCGTGCGCTGAGACAACACGGATTTTCTCAACGTCGTGTCGTTCTCAGTCATGCTAATCGACCTTGCGCGCTGGGCAGATCATAGTGAAATGTCTTCTGAAATCACGCCCACGAACTCCGAGGACTACACCGTGGCTTGGATTGCAGCTCTGCCACACGAAAGAGCGGCTGGGGAGATGATGTTGGACCATGAATACGTGCAGCCGAAGAGTTTCACTAAGAATGTTAACGACCCTAACAGGTACTCCTGGGGTCGGATCGGCGAACATCTCGTTGTGATTGCTTCTCTGCCAGCTGGCGAGTACGGGACAACATCTACAGCGATCACAGCTCAAGGACTGCGTTCTTCGCTCCCCCACATTCGTGTTGGCCTACTTGTAGGCATCGGAGCCGGTATCCCTGGAGAAAAATGCGACGTCGATGGCACCGTCACAGTCAGGCGCGACATTCGTCTCGGCGATGTGGTAGTGAGCAGTCCTGACGGCACCAACGCAGGAGTGGTGCAGTACGATCTCGTCAAGGCAAAAAGCTCGTTCGAGCGAAAAGGGTCACTCAATAGCCCACCACTAGCGCTTCGCAATGCACTCTCGGCTCTGCAGGCCAAGCATGAGTACCAAGAACCGAAGATCCCAAGCATCTTAAGCGGAGCATTGGGGAAATACCCGAAAGCCGCACCAAAGTACAGTCGTCCGGCTGAGCGATCTGACAGGCTATACCGGGCTTGTTGCAGTCATACTGGCGGCGAGGACTGCAGGAACTGCGACCAAGCAGGAAAAATCCAGCGTGCTCCGCGCGAGGACTCTCAGGTTCACTACGGCACAATTGCCTGCGGCAATACTCTGGTTAAAAGTGCTGCATACAGGGATGAGATTGTGAGCTGGCTGTACAAGGAAAATGTGGATCCCTTGTGCTTTGAGATGGAAGCTGCTGGACTGATGAATGCTTTTCCTTGTCTAGTGATCAGGGGCATATGCGACTACGGTGATTCCCACAAGAACGATGCGTGGCAAAGATATGCTGCAATGGTAGCGGCAGCCTTCGCAAAGGAGTATCTCGGCTTTGTTGATGTCGAAGAAGTCAGAAGAGCGCCTAGCCTCCACAAGGTGCTTGGGGATAGTAAGTCAGTCAGAGAATCCAAAGTAGTTGCCGTATGTGGCAGTGCTGATCAAGCCTCAGTTGGGGATAAAGTTGATGACGCGCTCGAAGGCAACCGGAAGATACAATCCACTTTGGAAACGGCAAGAGAAATCGATCAACGAGCAAGAGTCGCCAAATGGCTAGCGTCCTCGGATCCCTTCACAAACCATCACAAAGCGCTGCAGCAACGACACAGAGGGACCGGTCGCTGGTTCCTCGAGAGCAGTGACTTCGAACAGTGGAAGGCAAGTCCGAAGTCTTTCCTGTGGCTCCACGGCATACCGGGTTGTGGCAAAACAGTCCTTAGCTCCACCATAATAGAGCACCTAGAGCAGGACATGACCTGTCAACTGCTGACATACTTCTACTTCGACTTCAACGACAAGGACAAACAGTCCCTCGACAGTTTGCTGCTCTCTCTTATCGTACAGGTCTACCAATCACAGCCAGCCAGCCGGCCGCCTGTCGAACAACTATGGGCCTCTCACGGCGAGGGAAGCCGAAAACCATCTACGAGCGATCTGCAAAGTGTACTACAAGTCATGCTGAGTGGAGTTGGCAGTGTAAGTATCGTCTTGGATGCCTTGGACGAGTCGAAGCCAAGGCATGAGTTGCTTGCTTGGCTGAAGACGCTTGTCGAAAGCACGCACTTCGCTTGTCGGCTCCTAATCACTGCTCGAAGGGAGGTAGACATCGAGTCAGCGATTCAATATTGGACACGTGCCGAGGATAGGATACCGATCCAGCAGAATGAAGTGAACAATGACATTCGTGCATATGTAAAAGACAAAGTGCGCAATGGAGACGACCTCGAGAGATGGCGTTCTCGGCCAGATCTGCAGGAGGAAATCGAGACCAAGCTCATAGCAAAGGCTAATGGGATGTAAGTACCTACCGGATTGATACTTCGGGTCTAGAGCAGGCAGGAGATGCTGAGCGACAGACAGGTTTCGTTGGGCCTTTTGCCAGATCGAGGAACTAAGAAAATGCTACGACCCACCAAAACTCCGCAGCGCACTGGAAAGCCTACCGGACACACTAGATGAGACGTACGCTCGGATCTTGGAAGGGATACCTAAAAACAACGAACAAGATGCGACGACAATCCTAAGACTCCTGACGTGGTCCGATAGGCCTCTGCGATTGGAAGAGCTGGTAGATGCAATCGCAGTGCAGCCCGATGCGAGACCCAGATTCGACCCTAACAACCGCATGCCCGTGCCTAGAGACATCTTGAGGATTTGCTCCAGTCTCGTGGTATCTATACGACGTCCTTACAGACACGACGAAGTAGAGTTTATGAGCGCAGACAACAATAACCAAAATGGTGAGACTGAGGTGACAGAACTTCGACTGGCACATTTCTCTGTCAAGGAGTACTTAGTCTCTGATCGTATCAAATCAACCTTCTCGAATTATCTGGTAGACCGCACGACAAGAGCGAGCCTGGCGACACTGTGCCTTGCCTATCTGTCAGATTTGGACCACAGTCTGTCGCCTGACGAACTACGAGCACGATTCGCATTCTCTCAATACTGCGCGAGGTATTGGACAGATCATGCCAAAGTAGTCGACGGAGGCGACGAAAGATTGCAAGTTCGAATCCTAGAATCCTTGAATGACAGGGAGAATGGCTATCTGACATGCTATAACCTGTATGATCCAGAACAGCCATGGTCAAGTGATAATACAGAAAGGAAGACGGATAAGCCTGCTTGCTTATACTACACATCTTTGACAGGGCTGGTCACAAGTGTTGGTGCATTGCTCGACAAGGGCGCAGACGTCAACGCGCAGGGCGGACGCTACGGCAACGCACTACAAGCAGCTTCACTAGAAGGCCACGACAAGATCGTGCAGATGCTGCTAGACAGAGGTGCA